CTATCTATCTATCTATCTATCTATCTATCTATCTATCTATCTATCCACGTACACACACACACACCCCTACATACATAAGCCTGAAGAGAAAAGGTTTTGATCAGTATGTGCTGCCTGCTCTAACTGATGCCAGTGAAAGGCGCTTTTTTCAGGAGGAACTGGACTTTCTGGTTTTTCTTCTGAAGACATTTCGCTTCTCATCCAAGAGCTTCTTCAGCTCTGACCGGATAGTGGGGAATGGAATGATTTATATTCCTTGCTGGTCATTTGCATCCTTTTAGAGAGCCGTTGAGGCCACTTGGAGGTTAATCTGGGTCACCCAAGTAGTGCAAATGTTCCTGTAGTCTACACTTTTTTTCCTCTAGAAATCCATTCACACTTCTACACCATTCGAAGGGTGTTCATCCCAAAGAGCATGGCTAAAAATCTATGGAGATTCTCCATCATCCAGCTCACAGTTGTCCCAAAGGTGCTTTTTTCAAGAGTTCTGATCCACTTTAAGCATGAAAGCTAGCTGGGTGGTTTCGGACCAATCACTGGGTATCTGTGAGTTCTACTTCTGCCTCAGGCGTGAAAGCCAGCTGGGTAACTCTGGGCCAGTCCCTTTCTCTCAGCCCACCACACCTCACAAGGTTGCTGTTGTGGAGGGAAATAGTAAAAATAAGATGTTTGCTGCCTTGAGTTGTTTATAAGAAGATAATATGCAAAGGTTCCCCTCGCACATCCGTGCTAGTCGTTTCTGGCTCTAGGGGGCAGTGCTCATCTCCGTTACAAAGCCGAAGAGCCAGCGCTGTCCAAAAACGTCTCCGTGGTCATGTGGCCGGCATGGCTAAACACCGATAAGGCGCACAGAACGCTGTTCCCTTCCCACCAAAGGTGGTCCCTATTTTTCTACTTGCATTTTTTACGTGCTTTCGAACTGCTAGGTTGGCAGAAGCTGCTGGGACAAGGAACGGGAGCTCACTCCGTGACGCGGCGCTAGGGATTCGAACCGCCGAACTGCTGACCTTTCTGATCAACAAGCTCAGCGTCTTAGCTCCTGAGCCGCCGCGTCCCTGGAAAGAAAATAATAAAAGGTGGGATGTGAATAAAATAAATAAACCTCTTGACCCCAAGGCCATCTTCCTTGCAATCTCTCCTATCTAGGCGGAGCTGACCGATGGAATCGCAGCCCTCGTGGCAGCCAATGACAGGATCCAATCCTACGTGGCAGAACTCCAAGGCAGGTGCAGGAATATTGAGGTGGGTCCTAATTCTTCTTCCTGGTTTTTTTTTTCTTTTTTTTCCTGAAAATCAGGAATGTCTTCCAGGCTTCTTCACACGCCCAAATATTTTAACTGGCTGCATTCACACAAGATGATTAACTGGAGCAGAGAAATGCAGGTAGTCCTTCAGTTACAGCCACAATACTGCCTGCCCAACCCAATAACCGCCCAGATTTTATGACCATTTTTTCTGCGGTCATTAAGGGGATGCAGCGGTCCTAAATGTAAATCCATTGTTTGCTACGAGTACAGTTTTGCTGAAAACTGAAAAAGTTCAACAAAAACCATCACAAAAAGGGGTTATGTGACCCTGGAATACTGCAAACTGATCAATTTGATTTAGTGGGTAAGGCACCTGGCTAGAAAGCAGGAAACAGTGAGTTCTAGTCCCATCTTAGGCATGAAAAACTGACTGGGTGACTTTGGGCCAATCACCAGGAGACGGTGAGTTCTAGTCCCGCCTTAGGCATGAAAGCCAGCTGGGTGACTTTGGGCCAATCACCAGGAGACTGTGAGTTCTAGTCCTGCCTGCAAGGGACTAAATGAAAGCATCAGGCAAGACTGACTTAACAACCGTCTTGGTTAGCAATAGAAATTCCCAATTGTGTTTGTAAGTTGTGGACTATCTATACTGTACAGGTACTCCTCAACTTACAACGATAATTGAGTCCAGAATTTCTGTAGCACTGTGAAAGATTTGTGAAGTAAATTTTGTCCCATTTTACGATCTTTCTTGTCACGGTTGTTAAATGAATCACTGCACTTGTTCAATTAGTGACATGGTTGTTAAGTGAATCTGGCTTCCCCATTGACTTTGCTTGTCAGAGAGGTCGCAAAAGGGGATCATGTGACCCCTGGGACACTGCAACCGTCATAAGTATGAGCCAGTTGCCAAGCATCCAAATTTTGATCATGTGATCATGAAAATGTTGCAATGGTCATAAGTGTGAAAAATGGTTATAAGTCACTATTTTTTGGTGCTGTTATAAGTTTGGTCACTAAATTAACTGTTGTAAGTCAAAGATTACCTGTACTTTTTTTTTTTTATTAAAAAACAAGTTTTATTGATCTTTTGAAGACAAACAAAACATAGAACATAGAAATATAAAACCTCCTTTCTAAAAATTGCTTATAAGTTTTAACAAGGCAAATAAAACATTATTTTTTAAGGCATAGTTCCACATTATCACATTTCCATTTAAGCACATATATATCTTTTCCAAATTTCTCATTGTTTCTCCCTTCACTTTTATTCAATTATATTTCTTTCTATCAAGGTTTTATTAATTCTCAATCAAGCATAAACACACAAAATACAAAACATAAAACAAAAGATAAAAAGATAAAACCTCCTTAATTATCATTTATACATGTCTTTTCCAAATTTCTCTCCCTTTAGTTTTATTCCTCCAAGGTTTTATTAATTCACAATCAAAACATAGCTAACCAAAACACAAAACATAAAACTTCTTTTGAAAAGTGGCTTAGCCCCGGGTTACATCTTTTTTTACAGACCTAAATCAAATTCATGCTCACCATTCATATCTTATTAACCATTCTATATTTTCTATATAACTTCTCCCTTCTTTTCACTCTCTTAATTATATTTTGTTTATTTCATCTTATTTCAAAATCATTATGTTTGTATCTTTTGTCCGTTCTTTTCCAATCATCTATTTATCTCTTCTCTTTAGCAAAGAATTTCCCCTGTAATCACTTTTAAAGTATGACGCCTTTCTATCTTTCCCCTAAAGTAACACTTAAAATAATACATAATTTCCATCCTGATTCTGCTTAGTACATTCTACATGTTGCATTTTAAAATAAAAGAATAATAAACTTATAATATAGTTAAGTATATAATTTCCATTCTAGTTCTAATTCTAATTAATACATTATTTTAAAATAAGAAAATGAAATAGTAAATTTATAATAACATTAAGACAATAACGAATTAAACTATAACTAGGCATTAATCATTTTACATTAATCATTTTTTAAAGATTACCTGTACTTCTTTACCTACAAGCTGGATATAAAAGAAGGAAAAAATAGAAGATATAAAAAAACTTTTATCTAAATTTGTTTGATGGCATCATTCTAGGTGTGATTCAGGATGAATCAAGTATTTATGAAGGCACCAAGGGGAAAAATATCTCCCCAGTGCAATTTCAAACACTTTCAGTTTCTTTCAAGTTTTTTCTCCCACTTTCCTACTCCATTTGACTGTAAATAAGCTTTTTTTAAAAAAAATTAAGCAAATGAAGCCGAATAAATCTCTGGAATTTATTTAGTGGGTGGAATTTAGATGCTTTTCAAATGCAAAATTTATCATATATTTTTAAAAGCATGCTAACTCTTTCCAGTTGGAAAGCTCTCCGGGCTGATAGATTAAAAAAGTAGATTGAGAAATAGCAAGAAACTCCACATTTTTCTAACCAGGGGTTAGACTGCAAATGTATGCAGTGGGCACCTTCACAAAATGGCTGCCGGTGTTGCCCTTGTCTACTTTACTTAAAAGAAGGAACAGGGGTTGTTAGATCTGAGGTAGATCGGCTCGAATGAGACGCGAGACCATTCTAGTGAATTCAGCTCTTTATTTAGAATAGGAACAGTCTGGGGAATGCAAGCCGCGGCAGCCCTTCATATAGGGCTGGCTCGCGGCTCGGCGGCCAATGGCAGCGCTTTGAATCTCCCGCGATCGGCACAGCCAATCGCGGTAGATTCTTAGCGCTCCAATCACGGCTGGGGTTTCGACCAATCAGGTCGCTGTCCGTCTGGACCAATCAGTTGCGAGGGTTTGGAGTATGCTAATACAGCACAGGGGTGATATCAGAGGTGGTATTCAGCCAGTTCTGACTGGTCCTGGAGAACCGGTAGCGGACATTTTGAGTAGTTTGGAGAACCGGCCAATCCCACCTCTGACTGGCCCCACCCCCATCTATTCTCCGCCTCCTGAGTCCCAGCTGATTGGCTGGGTCTCCTGCACAGGAGAACGGAGCTGGAAAGCAGGTTAGTGGGGTGGGGAGGGAATGGGGATTTTGCAGTATCCTTCCCCTGCCACGCCCACCAAGCCACGCCCACCAAGCCACACCCACAGAACCTGTAGTAAAAAAAGGTGAATCCCACCACTGGGTGACATTATAGCAATCTTCCAGGGATTGCTCCAGAGAAGGGAGAGGGGGTGTCAATCTATTCTCCAAAGCACCTGAAGGCAGGACAAGAAACAATGGATGGAAACTCATCAAGGAGAGAAGCAACCTAGAACTAAGGGGGAATTTTCTGACAATGAGAACAATTAACCAGTGGAACTGCTTGCCACCAGAAGTTGTGGGTGCTTTATCAATGGAGGTTTTTAAGAAGAGATTGGACAACATTTGTCTGAAATGGTTTAGGATTTCCTGCTTGAGCAAGAGTGTGATGACCCGGGGCGTGACACAAAAGCAACAAAGTCAAAAAAATAGGTAAAGTCCCTTTAATTCCTCCAACTTGGCCCCCAATGTCCAGTTATCATCGGCTGGAGAAAAAAACTCTCCCAAGAACAGTTTTCAAAGGGAAGAAATTCCATCCAAACTCAAAGTACATCTAAATTATAAATAAAAACCAACACAAACCACAGCTGCAGCAATTAACGAGACAGGGCAGGATAAGGGATTGAAGATGTCAAAAGATAATGAAATACACACACTTGGGAGGACGCCAGAACTCAGTTAAGACTTGACAAAGCAGAATAATTTCACCCTTTGCTTCCAGCTACTTTGTCGTGTGGTTTGCCCTTTTCAACAGTCTTCCCAGCTGCAGCCCATGAAAGGGATCAGGGCCCTTTCCTCCCCCATAACCACACAACTCACGTTGCTCCCTTATCTGTTCCTCCCTGCGTGTCCTAGGATGAAGAGGGGGTGGGCCTGGGTCTTCCTCTGAATGTCTAGCTGAATGTCTAGCTGACCAAAGTGTGTTGTTTGGCAAACTCAGCCTCAGCAACAAACCAAGGTTTTTATTAGCCTGGCTAAAACCCTCTAACCTGGATGTATCGCCTGATTCTTCCCTCTCGAGCAGGCGAATTGCAAAGCTCAGAAGCAGGCGCTGTGTGAGAAGTTTGACCGCATGGGGGCTATTTTGGAAGAGCGGAGGAAGATCATGCTTCAAAGGATCATGTATGAACAGGAGAGCAAGAGCCAACATCTGAATGGGCTGAGCAAAGTATGCAGTGACCACATCGAATCGTCTTCCAAACTGGTGGACACAGCCCTGCAATCCATGGAAGAGCCTCAGATGTCCGTTTTTGTCCAGGTAAGAGCCCTGAAACCAGCAAAATGTAATCAATCTATCTATCATGTATCTGTCTGTCTGTCTGTCTGTCTGTCTGTCTGTCTATATCGATTGATATGGATATGGATATGGATAGATGATGGATGGATGGATAGATAGATAGATAGATAGATAGATAGATAGATAGGAATAGAGATAGAGATAGAGATAGAGATAGATAGATAGATAGATAGATAGATAGATAGATAGATAGATAGATGATAGATAGATAGATAGATAGATAGAGATGGATGGATGGATGGATGGATGGAGAGGTAGGAATAGAGATAGCTAGATAGGGCTTTAAGCAGGGGTGGGCTTCAAAAATGTTAGCAAAGGGTTCTCTGCCCAGTGGCTGGGTGGGCGTGGCCATGGTGGGCGTGGCCTAGTCGGCTTCCTGCAGCACGGTGTGGGGGGGAGCGTTTTTGCCCTCCCCAGACTCCAGAGGCTTTTCTCGAGCTTCCGGGAGGGTAAAAACGGCTTCCCTGGGCTCCGGAGGTGCTCTGGAAGCCAGAAACGGCCCCATTTCCAGCCTTCCCAAACTTCCAGGAGGCCCGTGTCAACTCAAAAATATTTCTCTTGTCTTTTAGAGTTGTCAGCAGAAGAGGAGTAATGCATGCCATAGATAATGGCTAGGCTGCCAAAGCTTCTGGCACGCAAGATTATTCCTGGAGAGCATGATTGATGACTCTTGGCTATGGATGTGTCCTGTTGGAGAATAGACATCCAGGGAGTGGGAGTGGGGGGAGACCAGGGTCAAGGGGGAAATGAATGATGTGTCTCAGTGTCGGCTGCACCCAGGTAATGCCGACATGGTCACTCCTAATAAATCAATGTTTTTTACTTTGGGAGATGCGGCTACTTATGATTTGAATGGGGGTGGATTGTCCGAGCCTTCCCCAAACCTCTATGCGTGACCTGCACTTACCTGCATGCAAAACGGGCCACGTGGTGACTCCTGGGTGGGGAGGGGAGGGGTAGGTGGGGCCAGCCAGGAGTGGGATTTGGGGGTTCTCCAAACTGCACAGAATCTTAGCTAGGGGCTCTCCCGAACCCCTGCGAACTCCCCAGCAAAGTGTTCTAAGTCAAAGATAACCTGTATCTTTTCTCACACTGTTTTTTTTTTTTCTTAATCATTTCTTCTTTTTTTTGGAATTGATCTTCCTTTGGTCTCTTTCTCCCAACATATCAGAATGCCAAAGTTCTCATCCGAAAGTGAGTATAATTTATTTATTCTCTTAATAATATCCATGCCTTTGGGAATCGAAACAAACAAAGAAAGAAAGTTTATGGATGGAAATTTTCCATTCTTTACGGATGGAAAAGAAAGGTTTCCATCCGTAACTTTGCGCCTCCTCCTTCCTTCAGGGTTGTGGAGATGAGCCACAGCTGCCAGCCAGAAGTCCTGGAATCGGGATACGACAACATGGAACACTACACGGTGGATTTCAACGCGGAGGAACGAATCCTCTATCAACTGGATTTCATTAAAGGTCATAGAATCATGGAACCATAGAGCTGGAAGGGAGCTTGGAGGTCTTCTATCCCAGGGGTTGCCAACCTTTTGGACCTCAGGGACCACTAAACCCATAATTTTAAATCCTGGGGACCACTAATATGAATTTTGACTGACGGTGGCTTGCTGATGGTGAGAGAGAGAGAGAGAGATATCGATCTGATCTAACCTCTCTCCCTCTCTCCCTCTCCCTCTCTCTCTCTCTCACACACACACACACACACACATACATACACACACACAGAGGCAGGGATGGGATTCAAATTTCTTAACAACTGGTTCTGTGGTTGTGACTTAATTTGTGGGTGTGGCTTGGTGGTCATGTTACTGGCTGGGCATATTATAAATATTTATGTAAATGTTGAATTTTTTATAAAAAAGAGCAACTTTTACCCAAAATCAGGCAAAGCAGGCAGGCAGACTGAGTTGCTCACATAATCACAGATTCATTCAGAGATCTATCTTTCTGCCATCAGCTTCCTGAGCCTGTCATATAAAATTTGCTAGCAAGCAAATTCAGAAAATTAACCCACAACACACCATGTATGTAAATATCGAACCAAAATTTTCTCATGGACCACCAGTGGGCCGCGGACCACCGGTTGGCAACCACTGTTCTAGTCCAACCCTCCCTGCCCAAGACAGGAGTCCTTATACCATTTCAGACAAATGTTTGTCCAGTCTCTTCTTGAAAACCTCCAGTGAGGGAGACCTCACAATTCTGGGAGACAAGCTGTGCTACTGATTAGACAGAATAACAGAGTTGGAAAGGACCTTGTAGGTCATCCAGTCCAACCCCCTGCCCAAGCAGGAGACCCTACACCATTTCTGACAGAGGGCCTGATTTTCAGTCTTAAGCTTAGGTCGTTGAAGCTTGCCACCCGTCAATAGAGGCAATTCTCGATCTCGCGACCCAGAGTGTTGATGGTGTTGTGAGAGAGCCATGGATGGCTGAGCCTCAACCATGACTTGAAAGCAGAATTTTAGGAGGGCTGATGTGATTACCACGTGCTACGCTCAACGATGAAGTTGCTTTGATGTTCATTGTCTAGGTAGATTCTCAATCATCCAAGTCAGAGTTGTCCCAAAGATTCTCTTTTTCCGAAAGGCAACTGGATTTTCTTGGTTTTCTTTTCTTTGAAAACATTTCCCTTCTCATCCAGAAAACTTCTTCATTTCTTCAGAACGGAAGAAGCTTCTTGGATGCGAAGTGAAACGATTTCAAAGGAAAAAAAAAAAAAGAAGAACCGAGAAAGGTCCAGTTGTCTTTTGGAAAAAAAAAAAAAGCCCCTTTGAGACTTAGATGTTCATCCCACCAGTTGTGTCTTTATTCTAGTGGAAGACCCCGAAATGGCGGCTGAAGAAGAAGGGGCCAGTGGGGAATCAGAAGACACTTCAGGAGAGGCTGAACCTGGAGGTAGTGAGAAGGAAGAGGACTTCAAAGACCCTTTTGCCCTCAGAAAGGAAGACCCATGGCAAGGAAGATCTCACCTGGCCAACGGGGTAAGGAAGGGGGTTGCCGTTGGGGCAGGAGTTTCAACTCCAGAGCTCACTCAATCTCTAGCTGAAACTAGCCAGGAAACCAATCGAGGGGCCACCCAGCAGGTAAGATCCAGACCCTGATCTCCTAATCCAGAAATCCCACTCAAAAAGCTGGAAGCCACCTCTTCCAACTCCACTCCTCCCTCTTGGTTCTTCCTCTGTCGTCTTCTCTCTTTTTTTTTTTTGTCTACTTCCTTTTCTCTTGGCTGAATTCAATTTCTATGCAAAGTACATACAAAGACATACAATCACTCATCCATCCATCCATCCATCCATCCTCCATCCAAACATACATACATACATACATACATACATACATACATACATACATACATACATACAGTGGGCACCACTAAAAGGATTTATAGAAAGTGGAAGAGGAAGAGAGAAGGAGGGTGGGTATGATCAAGGGGTTAAAAATTAAGTTTTAGGAGAAGAGAGGTTTGAAGGAAGCAGATGGCTTTGACCTTGAGAATAGAAGACTGAAGGAAAAGGAAATAATTGCCTTTTCTCTCTGTCTCTCCCTCCCCCCCCCCTGTATGTGTGTGTATATACACACCAACCCACCCATACAAACATCCATCCATCCATCCATTGAAACAAACAAACATCCACCCACCCACCCACCCACATACATACATACATACAATCACCCATCCATCTATCCTCCATCCATCCATCCATCCATCCATCCATCCATCCATCCATCCAAACAAACATCCATCCATCCATGCACACATCCATGCAAACATACATCCAAACATCCATACATCCAAACATCCATACATCCATAAATACAATCACCCATCAATCTGTTGTGGTTAGCCAGCAGCAGGTGCAGACGGCTGAGGAGAGCGAGGACTCAGATGAGGAGCCAGGACCATTAGGGAGTGGGCTGCTGCCTTCAGAGATTGTGGGGGCTGGCAGCAGCGATGAGGAGGTTCCTGAGGAGCCTGTGCCAAGTGCGTGTGGGCACAGGATTGCTCGCAGGAAAGAGCAGCTACAACAGCACAGGCAACTCGGGAGTAAGGCTGCAAGGTAATGCCCCCTCTCTGAGAAGATAAAAGCCAGCTGTGAATCGGACGTTCTTTGTAGGAAGCAAAGACGTTTTGAAACTCGAACCTTGTGGACATTGCAGTATCTTAGTTGGTATTTGAAGACTCTTGTGTTGTAAAATATTTCTAGGTAACCTTGTCTGTTATTCTTAGCAGCCTCGCACAGTTTTGGCGAGGCTTGTGCTTATCAAAGTTAATTAGTTTGCAGCAGCCAGTTTAGGTTCCTGTTCCCTTTGGTTCGTGTTTTTTCTTATTGGAAAAGGGTTTGGGTCAGAACACCATCCATCTTCCATCTACCAATCCAAACAAACATCCACCCACCCACCCACCCACCTGTGATGACCCAGAGTATATCAGAAATATAACAAAAACCCAAACGTAAATAAAAGTCCTTTAATGCCTTCAACTTGGCTTCACTGTTTAATTGTTCACAGTGGAGGAGTAAACTATTTTCAAAACAACATTTCAAAGGAAAGAAACACAGTTCACAGTCAAAGAGCCGATAATGAAGCAAAACAAAAAACAAAAACAAACCTCGCACTGATTAAAGTTCCACGACAGACCAGGATAGATAATTGCCAACTTCAGGAAGATAACCAGGTACAGTCTGTTGGAAGAACGCCAACCAAGATAAACCTTCTTTAGGAATAAAACACTAATTTGTCTCCAGCATCTGGTAGCACACAGGTCCAAACTCTTATGCAGATCTCACACCTGCAGCCCATGAAGAGGATCATGGCCCTCTCCTCCCAAGTAGACCACATTTTACCCTGATCCTCTCCTCCCGAGTAGACCATGTTTTACCCTGATCCTCTCCTCCCTGCATGCCCTAGGATGGATAAGGGATGGGCCTGGGTCCTCCTCTGACTGCTCAGAGTCAGTCTCCACCAGGAGCATGACACCCACCCACCCATCCATCCATCCAAACAAATATCCATCCATCCATCCAAACATGCATCCAAACATACATACATACATAGAATCACTCATCCATCCATCCTCCCTCACTCCATCCAAACAAACAAACATCTGTCCATCCATCCATCCATCCATCCGTCCTTCTGTCCATCCAATTAACCAACCAACCAACCAACGAACCAACCAACCAATCAACCAACCAACCATACATACAATCACTCATCCATCCATCCATCCTCCCTCCCTCCATCCAAACAAACATCTGTCCATCCATCCATCCTTCTGTCCATCCAATTAACCAACCAACCAACCATACATACATACAATCACCCATCCGTCCATCCATCCATCCAAACAAATATCCCTCCCTTCCTCCAATTATCCATCCATCCATACAAACAAACAGTTTACCATATTTATGTGGTCACCCCTCTCTGGTAGTGATTCTGGTAGTTTACTACTCTTCAAACACCTGAAAAATGGTTTCATAGCAGAAGCTGAGGACACAGAATAATTAGTTCAGCAATCAGGTTAACCATGAATGGCCTTTCATGTTGGTATGTTAGTTAGATTCTCATGCCACATCTTTCAAATTCCTGGTACAGGTACTGCTTGACACACAACCATTATTGGGACACAAAATTTGTGT